CTCAGTTCTGTGAGATTTTTTGGGGACGGTGCATTTGTCAGTGGAGCTAGTCTTTTCATATTTGGTCTAAAAGTATTACCATCAACTAGGTATCCAAGACATTCTAGACTAGATACACAAGGTGGACACCAGTTCGGATTTTCCGTAATATTCTTCTCAGTTAAACGACGCAATGAAGCAATAAGTCTCTCGTCATGAACTACCTTATCAGGACCATGAACAATGACATCATCTTGATAAACTTCAACACCTTCAAGATCACTAACTACCTTATTCATAACTTCCTGAAATATGGCTGGAGAACAACTTAGACCAAATGGAGTAAAGTTGTATTTGAACAGACCAAAAGGAGTGTTAATTGTCGTCAAAATATATGAAGATTGATTTAAAGGGATTTGAAGATAAGCATCGTTTAGGTCAACTTTCGAGAACGCTTTACAACCAAGACGTCGATTTAGAATATCTTCAGCCTCTACTGACTTACACGTTTGCTTCAACAAACGGGAGTTCAATGTTAATCTATAGTCACCACATATTCTAGGGGTCTTGCCGTCCAACCTCAGTGGCGTAACAATAGGAGTACCCCATGCTGAAGACTGAATTAGTCCAATTATACCTTTCGCACAAAATCGTTCAATGTCTTATGTACTGCTTCTCGAAGACCATAAGGAACTATTCTTCTTTTAAAAAAGACTGGATCGGTTTGTACTTGAAGTCTTATAGGCTGAATTTTCATACCTCCACTGCACTTAGCCCACGTAGCTATCAAATCTTTAGGTAAAGCATCAGAATTTTCTTTAGAAACTAAGAACGACAACTCCACCCTAAGCCTTTTAAAATTCCTTAAACCCAGTATTGACAGTCCTGTCTCGCCAACTAGAAATCCACAAGGTATGTATGGAGAATTATCATCTCTTATTAGGGATTCACAACATATTCGAATAGGCAGTCTGTGTCCAGTAATCTTCAAAATTGAGACTTCAGTGAGTCGTGTCACAACGTTAGGATCTAAAGATTTCAAGTTCTTGGATGAAATAATGGACTCTATACTGCCTGTGTTCACAATAAAGTCATGACATGAACCGAGCGATGTATATGGTTGCTTTTGAATATGAGTATTACCTTTAGAAATGGTGGACAAAGATATATGATTATGAGGAACAGCCAAATTATTGGGATCTTAATTATAAGATCTGGTACTACTTGAAGAAAAATGAACGGTAGCTTTGCCTACTGACTGAATGTGTCCTATCTTACCACATTTAAAACATTTAGCATTACGAAATGCACATGAATTCCGAAAATGAAACTTTCCACATGATAAACATTTACCAAACTTCATCTCACTTTGTGATTTGCTTTGTAATTCCTTGTTGAAACACCTTTCATATTTACACGAGAATAGGAATCACTGTTAAACGAACGCAAGTTTGATTGACCCTGGGATTGTAGTTCATTATGACGACTGGATATCAAGTCCATTCACCGCCTCACATTTAATACACGCAGTTCTAGCATGTTGAAAGGAACAGTTAGGCATTTTTAACAGCTCTCTTTCCAAACCCGGTATATTTATTTCTGCAACTAATCGATCTCTCAGTCACACATGAAGTTGATAACCAAAATTACATTTGGCAGCTTGTTTCTGCAATTCAATGATGAATTCCCTAACCTTTTGGTCATTTTGACGAACCATCTTATGAAATTTCGCCCTTTCACGACATTCAAAACTGGTGCACTTTACATGATTTGATAATAGCTCCTTAGGAGTTGCATAAGGAAGCGAGATAATTTTTTCTGGATATGCCAAAGTTTTTAATAAGCTGTACGCTTCTCTTATGATGAATGTTAGGAAATGTGCCACAATCTTATCACCTTTAACATCTTTCTTGGTTATGATCCAGATTTCAAAACTTTCCAAATAATCCTCAAAAGCTTTCGAAGTTGAATGAATATCTAACTGTTTCATCGCAGGCTCCTTAGCGAAGCCAATATAATAGTTAGGAGTATTTGAATTGTAGTATGAACTAAGAATCCCAGAAATAACACAACTGGATCATGAAGTACTCGATAAGCACAAATGAATGTACTGTATTTGGAATTCGGAATCAAGCATTTGACAAGTACAAAGGAATCATTGGTTCATTCAAACACCATCCAAATCTCACTTCATTATTTATGTATTGCTGAGTCCTTTCTGTAATGCATGTGGCACCATCTATTCCTATTGTTCCAGTAACATACTTGTCAGATTATTTACACAATTAATTCTTCTTTATTCCCTTCTTTAAGACCAACCTAATAACTTTCTAAATACTACAGGACCCTGATAAATGTGCCGAACGTTATGTGAATAATATCGAAACGTTTACATAGTTGCGTTTCTGAAGAGACTATGAACAGTTTATTCACAAAACCTGTGCATCAATGAGCTATTTTCGAACAATGATAATAATTGCATGATCAACGGTATTCTGTTCAAGCGTTCAGGGTATGGAAACCAAGACAATGTGAGTGGTTTTGCGGAATGAAGAATAAAGTCTAAAGTGTCGTTCCATCATTTTTGATGGATCTATGTTTATTACTTGCACAAGCAGTATTACCTCTATTCATCTTCAAAACAAACCTCGACCATCATGAGAAAGTCCATTCCTGAGTACGTTTTTTGAATGACAGAATAAATTTATGTGAAAAGGTTTCATCATATACTTTAATCTTTTCTACACACATTATCTCGAATATTTTGTTGACCGATTAGTTTTGCCTCTAATTCCGTATATTGCTTTATAAGACAACCTTAAGAGATCAGGGACTATCAGAATTTGATGAGGATACAGTTAGAAAACACTTCTAAAGCAGTGAACTCAAAGCCGATTAGACCGGCAGTTTAAACTGATGAGATGTAAACATAAACTTGGATTAAAAAGCAGTGTGGAATTGTTCATGGGATATAAGCCATCTAATTATCATGGGAGATATGAGGAACAGAGTACCCAATCGTGATCAGATGCTGATGCTTGACGAAGCACCTTCGACTAGAGGTGTATTCGGATAAACCGTTAAAGTCAGCGTCAGTAACGAAGACTTACGTGATCAATTATTTTGGGGACTTATTTATTGCTACATACTCGTTACTCAGTCAATGTAATTTCAATTCTTGTTTATGTTTCTAAGTCACACATAATCAAACGGCTTGCTGTCTGACAACACGAAAGCTTTAGTTTTCAAACACTCGGAACAAGTGCTATTCCTGTTGTACTCAGAAGACCTTTCTAGTCCCCTGTCATCAATAACTTGTATTTATGCTAACGATGTTGAGAGACAGAGAGCGATAAGGACTGGGGTCGACATTTCAGGCCTCCAGAGTAATAAACAGAAATTACCCGGATGGTCTGTCGCCTATAAATGTTATGACATTCCCTGTCGATAATCACGTGACCAAACCGCCACTCAGAAGATCGGCGTATATGACCTTGATACAGTGCCAAGTCAATGACGCATTATTCAGTATGAGCAGCCCAGAGTCAACGCTGAGTCCTTATTGGTTCTTTTTGCCTATCTTTATCCTCTGAGTCTAGGACACAATCTTAGCTTACACTGTATGAATAACGCATTTCCGACACACCTAATTTATTTACAACCAAACCAGACCTCAGCAGGCCACAAAATAAAAAATAAAAATTATACAAGATCAAGCTAACAAGTATTTGTGGTTGTGAAAACCTGTAACTAGTGAACTGGGATTAAATTAAGTATAGTAAATCTTATAATAGTAGTCAGTAGGTCAAACAAAAGCTTCCGATAAAAGAAATATAAAAATACATAGTCTAGATACTTAACAGTTATATGATAAGAATGTGTACAATAGCAGTCTACAAATAGTTTCCGGAAGTTACCCGTAATGTAATCTACAGATATGACAACAAACGTATGCAAGTGTATTACAATCTTCATTAGTCACCCAGGTACAAACACAAACAATACCGAGCTACCCTTTATCCAAATATGTTGTTATAGAAGCTGTTGCCAGACAGGGATTAAAAGCCACTGCATACTGACAGACAAGTTCCACAAAAACGTTAAGAACCCCCTCGCCAGTTCATGTGGTTCTTATTCACGTAGGTGTACTTGTTCATCAGACCTAGGCTTTTAGATTGTGCACATTTGGTCAGGCTCAGACTAAAAACCATATAGTTTTTAAATAATGTTAAAACAATCCTGAATAAGTTAACTTCCAGAAGCACAAAGCTGATGTATAACGAGAGACAGGTCAAACTAAATATATTGTTCGTTTAACACGCAAGGAGCAGAGGTAACTTAGTCACAGGTTTTAAACTAAGTAATAATAATTTCGCGCGTAAAATCCTTCATTCTTATTATATCCTAAAAGAGAGTATTTGAAGAGACACTCCACAATTTTACAAGCCTTGGAAATGTTGTTTTTCCATAGAATCATCATCTAGTGGAACTTCAGAACTCAGTACATGGCATAAGCTATATATATTGACATGTTCGTAGCGCCATATAGACTTTAAAATCAATAGTTATGTATGTTATTGACATTTGGTGCTAACAAAATTAACCTTAAAGGACCAACTTAGCTGAAGACATTCGGTCACGCATCCGCACCAGATCACGAGTGGGTAAGCCATGCTACACATCCCTTTCAACTATTAGTCAGCTTAGATGAAATATTCCTCGACATAACGACGACCTTCTGAATATATCTCCGAACTCCTTCATTTCTGGTTTCTAATTTGAGCGAGTTGGCACAATTCGATCAAAAACGTGTTCCTGGTTAAGCTGTTGTCAAACTCTGAATGCTTGTGGCATTCCTTATACATCTCCAAGAAACCGATTTAAGATGTTTGCTCTAGAATCTGAGTTCGTTTTTTTCAGCACACGGGTTAACGGTATTAAAATCAACGAAATCAAGTTTTTGATAATCACATCTCTTTGTTTTATTGAGCCACAGCGTTAGTATTTCAAGGTACGTCTTTGAGTGGGTGCATAAAATTGTATAGTAATACGTTGGCCAGTAGCAATTTGACTTTACGCTAACTATATTTACCTCATGGAGAATTCATTATTTTTCATGTATTCCTAAAGCTCAGTGAATAATGACATTTTAGCTCTATAAATTGCATTATATTCAGGTGTCTAGAGTTTGGCAGACCAGAAAGTCGATTTGGTGTCGTATCGCATCTATTTAGCATATGCTCAATTAACATGTAGGCTCCTGGAAATATACTGATTATGTTTATCAGTGTTCTAGTTAGGGCTTTACTCAGGAGTTATTTATGGAAGTCTCGATATAGTTTATCTAATCAATAACTTTTATTCTTAAACATATTTCTAAACAAGAAGGTTGTGTAAATTCAAATGATCATGGGACTAACTGTTCGTTTAATTCCAAGTAATTTGACTTATGTATGTGTGCATGGAGTTATCAGTTTCTCTCATTTTTCCTTTTCCCTAAAGGAATTTATTGAAATACCTTATGTTGAGGATTCTGTACTTTACCAATAATGTAATATTGAATAAAGCCATTAATGGAACCGAGTGTTTGGAACAGGACTTTATAATGTCTTGAACATATTTTCTAATCTTTTATACACAATCCCTACTGATACATCTGCGTATTTTTGTAATGTTATACTTTATAACGCTGCACATATGTCCATTAATTACTCCAAATATTTATTAAACTTCATTTGTTAACAATCGTAGAGTATTCAAATTCAATGGATTCGAAATTCAAATTAATGGATGATGATAAAGAAAATAACAATGAGCTATCACTGGACGTCGAACAGGCTATTCGTAGCAGTTCAGTATGATGAGTTGTAAACGTTTTAATGCTCCTCACTTTCTTAGATCATGTCCAAAGCTCCAATCGTGAAATTTCTAAACAAATCTCATGGTAGTCTGTAAGTATTCATTCGTTCTTTTACATCAACAGTGCACCATTTGCTGGTGTTTACTGCTATAAGGTTTGGGTATCTGATGAACCACCAAACAGATCTCGCCATTACGCTTATCAAGTAGGTGGGGTTTGGTAAATATTTCCTTTAGGTTATTACAACAAATTCAATACAAAAAGTTTATGTCACGTCTATGCGTGTGTGGCCGATAACGTTTTCTTTTCGACCACCAGTGACTCCTATGAATTTTTGGATTCGAATTACACCACTGTTTTCCTATGCAGAAAAGTGTGGTGAAGTCGTTCAAAGGTTTGGGAATTTTTATTTTATATTTTATACTTTAGGTGCAAAAAGCACGAGATTCAAACATCTGGTACCTACATATCGAAGGGAAAATCATTTGTTGAAATTCTTGGGGAAAGTTCGGAGTATGTGTTGGGCAGCCCCCTCTCAAATTGCCCTCGTGACCAAATTACCGTCCGTACACCTATTGATGTGCTCCATCTCCTTCACTCCAAGTCAGAAGCTCCATCTAACACCGCCGATTCGGATATCTCATTATTACCAGAAGTGAGGGGGGTTTTGTATTGTAGACTAAGCTGTTACAACAGTTGTTTTGGTTTAACAGCTCGAGGTGAAATTGAGTTAGTTATTACCCTTGAAGCAAAGAATGAGTGAGTCGTTTTATTCCATAAGTCGCGGTTTCGGTTTTAATAATTTGCGATCCGTTTTTTGTTCTATATGCTGAAATTTAATCCTTCTTTGAAATGTGTAGTCCGCTATTTTTATGGATCAAATCACAAAGATGGTTTTGGTTTAGTGTACTGTCTCAAATATCCAATCTATTTTAGACGTCCATATTAACTATTATGTATTTACTAACCGAATTATCAGTGGTTTAACTTATTGCGTGCTAGGATACGATCTCAGATTTGCAAGATGACATCAAAGCTTTACTGGTGAGTAATTCTGAATATGAATATTGAAGTTTTCTGGTATATGAAAACGGTCTGTTAATTGGAGACCAACAAAATTATTGAGTCTGTTTAGCGCTTATCTTCAAAATAAGGCGTACTGTAATAATGAAATATAACACTTATAGATCAACAAATATCTAGGAACTTCGACGATTTTCTGAACATATGTCCTTAAAATGAGTTGTGCGGATAAAAAGTAGCTTTATGTTAAAGTATAATAAAAATGTCTTCCAAAACTAAGAATATTAAGGACCTAGCTATCCCTCATTACCTTGAGTTGCAAGGCATTTTAGTTGTTCTCTAGTAACTTTTTATTCATCAAAATATCATTTGTAACTTTGTTTAAATTGTAATGTGTAGTAATATATAACTCTTAAAACCATTGGCTTTTCTGGAGAATAACTTGAGTGAACCGGCAAAAATGCTCTTCGCTACTTTCAAAATCTTACTGTTGTTTGATAAACTAGTGGTGTGGTTGATCATATCAGGTTTAGAGTCGTTAATAGATCAACTTTAATAATAATTAGCTCAGTAATATACTATCGAAAGTGATTTACTTGCTTATAGGCTGCTAAATTCACAAAACACACCTATTCAGAGTCTCATGATTCTACAAAACGACCACTGCTGTGGCTGTTGATAAATAAGATTTCAATCTTATTTACGAAACTGCAGTTACGAATATTGTTAAAATATCTGTGTGCAGTTAGTATCGATGTTATTCAAACATTCAATATTGTTTGATACGCTACTATGCAAGAGGTTCTCATTAATGGTCAGATCAAATCATCCTGATAGTCTCTTGAAATTTGTATTTGAATTTAGTATTTATTTATTTAAGCACGTAAATTCAGTTACAATAGTGCACCGAAAAATGGATTAATAAAATAAAGCGATAATTTTTAAACAAATAAAAGAGGAAATGGCTAGTACAGCCAATAAATAAATCTACGAAGATGGTATCGCAAGACACAGTTCAGTTAAAAATACAACCAAAAAAGACTGTTGGAGGAACTCGTTTCACTTTTACGAAGAGTGTAATAGAAAGCGGCGAAAGGATCGCTACTGGAATCAATTTTGAATAATAAATGATGGCATCTGAACCCGCCGAGCTACATATATGGGACTCTAGTCAAAGTCGTGATGGACCGACCGATGCTAGTCTCCTATACGGCTGTCTTTTGTCCCACAACGCTGTCATAGAATGTCTTATTTAGTTCATTCAGAGCTTTATATCTTCAAGTCATATTGGAAATATTTTTTAATTCATGATAAATATTTTGATTGCTCCAGTGAATCAGTTAATCAAGAGAATTTCACAATCTTTGGCCTTGACAAAATACGTGTTCGTTGTTGTTCTTGTCCGACGAGAGATGCAAAATCTGATCACAAGCTTTCATCCAATATTTTAGGATCGTGTTCCACCGGCATAAGTTCTAGAAGGTTATCACTTAGTTTATCTGACCATTCAAATATTCGAATAGTAAGTTACTTACCAGAGTCATATATTTAATGAATTTAAACTGTTAAATTTATCAAAATTTAAATATATGGTTTTACAAGGGGTGTTCATAATGAAGATTAGCTTGTACATAATCAGACTCACTAGTGGGGTTGTGAGCACGTACTACTAACGAGTCATGAACTAAAACGACATAGCCATTCAGTACTCCCTGGTTTTTCTCAACCGACAGCCTTTCATAATATAATATACTTTAAAAAGCGTGATACTTCATTACATCCGCACAGTCATCATCAAAATAAAGCCTGTCACAAACTTTCATTAGCCAATGTTACTATACCACATAAACAGAGTAGGATGAAGGTAGCAACGTGAATAGCGAGTGAGTCGAAATAATAGCAGTATCCGTTATAGTGAGGACAGGTAAACTGAAAAATGTGTTTCAAAGAGGATGAAATTTAAGAAATAAAAAGTATGAAATAATTTGGTGTCTTGCAATAAAGTAAATGCACCTGAATGCCTATGACTGGTTCTAAGCCATATCGCTCAAAATTTCCAGTCACTGATCTCGGCAATTGTATTGACAACAACCATGAAACCTATATCTCCCCACACTGCTCATTCCAAAATCCACTGACTTCACAGACAGATGCTGTTTACCGTATTGTAACCTAACTTGACAATCGTATTTACAAAGTTTTCAACCATTGTTTAGTTTGCTCGGGTGATACATTTGTTTATATTAAACGACCATGGAGATTAGCGGTCACCAATTATTGTGTAAAATACTAAATACTTCAATTTTTTCGTGGTACATTCTATTTGTTCTGCTGCTTGTCAGTACGCATCCTCTTAAAAATCAAACCCATTTCATTATTAATCGAGTTCACTTAACGTACTTATATTTGATTCAGAAACAAGCAAGGACCTGTAAATATTTTCATTACCGAAGCGATCATCGTTTCAGTTCACAATCACTTTTCTGTTTCATATAATACATTTACTGTGTATAAGGTAATTAGAAGTCCTCTTATTCTGTTTTTCGGATTGAAGTACATGTAAGGCTTTTGAACCCTATGAATCACTAATACATAAAAGTAAATCACGCTATATTTCTATTTTCAATACACTTACAAGAATGGTTTGTGTATGAAAAATATAAAACTGCCATATATCACCTAAAGATGTTTATTTTGAGTCTAGTGGTTTTTTGGGGGGCAGTTCTCTTTTGAATAGTTTTCATCAAAGTTGGAGATCAACTAAAAATAATCCTTTCGTTACTCACTATTTTGTCATAGTTTAATATTTCTCAGCCGCTGTGTGTAAACATGACTTCACACAAAATGAAACCCAATCTCTCAGTGAATCAGTCTGTTGGTATTCAATTTTACACACTCCATGTTCAATCAGTGTGGCGCATATATATTGGCGCTCTCTTGTACCAATATTTATGTGTTCAAATAAATAAATAAATAAATAAACAAATAAATGTTCAATCAGTTCTCATTATCTTATGCGATTGGTTAGTTGGACATTGTGTTTGTAGTTGTGTATACTTCTAATGACTTATCAACTACAACGAAATAGCTGCCCCTAATTCTCTGGTTTGTGGCAGTTCTCTAAGTGATGTATTAATCCATCATGAGAACAATCTTAAAATTATATCTCTTTTATAACTTTTCACATTTTCGTCAACAGGCTTTTATGTATCGTAGTAGCACAAACAGTTCTAGGTTGTTTAATCTCGTTCGTACTCTTGTTTTGTGCTTTCAGAATACTGGAATTTCAAGTGCACGAAATAGTTGTCCCAGTAAAATACAAAGAGTTGAAAACGAAGACTGTCAAGAGTCATACTCATCTATTATTTTTAACAGTAAAAAATATTTCATTACCATGGTTAGTCTGATAGAATTTATTTGCTTTTTCCTCACTGTTCTGTTCTTCGTCGGATAATATTCAGTTATCGTGAATCCTAATTACTAACAGTTCCTAATCGAGTAATATTATACATTTGTTTTTCAAGTTTACACAGTTAACGCTTAAAAACACATTCAGTCATGATCAACATAAAACCTTGCACAAACGTGCGTTAGCCTAGGTTGTCATAGCAGGTCAGTCTAACGAGATGAAACTGACAAAATGAATCGTTGATGAGTAGAAGTAATTGTGGTACCAATGATAATGCGATAGACTAAACTCTAGGAGTATATGTTTTGAAAAGGAGGTATTGAAAGATGTTTATGGAGGAATAAGAAACTCAAGATCTATATAAAAATAGAATGCGTCTGTACAACTGTATCACGTCACTCGATCTCTAACTATTAGTCGCGGCGATCTCGCTAACACTAACAAGGAATTCTCCGTACATCAAAACGAGTTAGTTCTATGGTCAGTAACTTCATTGTGTAATCCGGAGTTTTTGTTTGGTCGTCTCTTCCGGTCTACTCTTATTCTAGATAACTTTGAAGGCACCAGATAGATATGCACCATATAAATCATTCGATTTGTGTGAGTGCTAAGATACTGCCCGGGTGCCCAAACTGAACCAGGTGGTTTTATTAGGGGACCACGCTCGGAGCCTTCGACCTAAAGGTCTAATCCCCAAGGCAGTGGAGCAGCGTAAGGAGATGCAGTCCCATGGTAGCCGGTGACCAACGATTGGTCCATACGCCATTCGTTTCTTCAGGATCTTGAAGCCCATGTGCACCAGTGGTTTGGAATCAGGGGTTTCCAACTCCCCTAGGTGGACCCTCCTTATCCACCAACCCCGTCAAAGCGCTGGACATTCTCTTTTTGTTATCTGAATTTCGTAAACAACAGTAATTATGCGAAAAGGCAGTGTATAGGGCTTCCACGGCAGCGGTCTTATTCACGTAGCCATGTGAGAGCATTTCGAGAGGGAGAGTTGACTCTCCCCACTCTCGGCCGTATCAGGGCATTTGGGGGCGAGGTAGGCGGTTGTCGGGCATACGTAACACATGTCCCCAAACTACCATTGGTGATTAACAACTTCACCAATCGATTTGCTGTCTGCTTAATACCTTGTATCCGACCTCAGCATTGGGTACTCAGGTACGCGAGTAATGCTCCTAAGGTGCTTATAATCAAAAGCTTGTGTCATTTCTCCTACTTTTATAGACCATTTTTCAGAATCATAAAGTAACACAAAGCGGACCGCTAAGCAGTATAATCGCACCTTGGTTGGGAGATGAACATCTCACCTACGCCGCAAACGAAGTGAGTTGGTAGAAGCCAACCGAGATTTTGGTGAACATCAACCCACCAGGGTTAATGAAACTCGATATTAATGAAATAGTCAGTCAGTCATTGGACTCAACTATTCTACTCTCAATTGGTTCAGGCATTTATGTGAACAGGCCTGAAGCAACATTTCACACGTTAATGCAGGAGGAAAATCCGTTCTAAACATGGCTAAATTATTGCTTAAGATTATCAGAAGACTGCTTTTTGTCAGCAATTTTACGAAACAGAACCATATCATCTGTGTATTCTAAGTCAACAAGTGCATCTACTCGTAGGAGACCAGACTCAGACGATGAGGGCGTTGTTTCTAAGCGAATGTCTATGGCAAATATAGAAATGGAGAAACGGGACAATTTTGACGAACATCACCTGAAATTATTTTTACCAAATAGGAGTACATCATCTTATTTTGCGTGATGATTCAGTACAACGATATATATATATATATATATATATCATGGTTTTTGAAATGCATTATTTCTCAATACTTAGAGGAACTTCGTGATATGTTTTTTAATGAATGTCTCATACCCATATTGGTAATGATCAAAAGACTGCTTAATAAGGGTTGAATAGTCCAACTATGTAGAAGGACAAAATAGATTGCATAGGAGATTGTGTTTGCTAAGTGGACAGTACTTCTATTCAATGTATGTTTATTGGATGTCAGAATGTTCCTGATTACATATGTGTAGACGGTTAGTTTAATTGTATGTGGCATATTGTACTACCTTGGCACGTACCCCGGTTATATTGTTCAGTGTATTAACAACTCAGTGTTTAGATATAATACTTGTGGCCTAAAATTGTGGTTGGAACATTGTCAACTTTAGCTTTTTTTTCTGAAACAGGGCTAGCACAATTGACACAGCAACCGAAAACTAGTAAAATCCTTTGCAAAAAAAGTGTTCACGAATAGGGATATTATTTTTTAACGTGTAGCGATGCTTATTATTACATACCTACACATGATTTGTGCTAACTTTTAGACGGGCAAATTATTTTAATCTTTCCATCTGTCCCGTCACCTTATTTGCGATTGTCAATTATTCAACTGTAACCCTGATCACTACTTTATAATTGTGTGCATGATAGTACGTGTGTGTCGATCCACTTCCTATATTTCTTATATGACTTACAGAAACTTAGTCACTTTGTTATTCCGTGTATTACTGATTTCCAATGCTTTATACAATTGTCACGTCATTCATTTGCTTTTCTACCGCTCAGTGTTAGCATGTCTGAAATATTGCGTATCCCAAATACAATTCATATTTGGCTTTTATCATTTACATTGTATCAATGTGGTTTGTTGAGAGAATGTGTACAAAGTAAATAGTACATACGTTTCTTCAGCGTCATTATGAAGTCAACAACCGTCATTAAAAACCTATTACATACACACAAGGTCTTTGTAATAAATTACTCTTGTAGGGGGATTTATAACGATATATCGTCAGCAAAAGTTCACAGAAAAGTGATCGACAACAATCATAAGTCAGACATCATTAAAGTAATGGACACTTGTGAGGTTCGATTAACTGATTTGATAAATCATAAATATCACTTTCTTATCCGACATTGTTTTTACTAATTAATACAGATAACCATTAAAGGATTTTTGTTAACTGATATTTCTAGTTACAAAGTAGTAAAACTTTTGGTGGGTGGTTTTCTAGGTCTTTTTTTCAAACATAATTTTTAATATCTCATTTGTAGAAAGCGATCATATACAGTTTGTCTAAAATAGTGTTTTTCAGTATAATTCCCCCCCCCCGTAAAATATTTTCCTTCTTCATTCTTAAATACTTTTATAGACTGATGATCCGGAAGTAAAGTCAGCAAACACCACACTGAGGGATTTATCAGCTTTAACATCTGAAAAATGGACATGTTCTCATTCTCGAAATCGCGCACTGAAACGTATTAAAAAGTTTTATCGGAATTTGGAAAGTTATGTTACTGACTGGTTAGTTTTTTACGTAAATCATAATCTTTTATACCTTCACAAGTATTTATTGTTATATGAAATTAGATAATATGAAGGCTGAAAATAAGTGTATTAATGTAATACCCATTAATACCCGCAGTCTGTTTTTATGTTATTTTCAGTGCCTTGTCAAATGACAACTGTTGTTTTTTTCAAAATAAAACAGCGTTCAAGTTAAACAAATTTGGAGACCACCATTCATATAGCAAAAATCAATCATTTACTACGGTAGATGACTTATGTAAGGGGTATATGAGACCAATTGAGTTATACTGGATAATATGGGTTTATTGGTATATATTCTTAATCGAGTATCAGATACCTTTGATTGACAATGGTTGGAAATCAATCGGTCACAAGGAAATGGAAGAAGACATTCCTAAAAGTTGTTTTAGAACTGTGTTTAGTTTCCTACTGTTACTACTACTAATATGACTAGACTTTCTTTCATTTCCTGTCTTTTTAATTTCCTCTCCGTGTGTTGATGTAACAACTCTGGAGTTGATGTATATTTTAATCCAGATGCTAACGTTATTTGTAACTGACATTCTAAAGTACGGATTAACATACTTGAAATCATTGAGATATTTATTTGACGGCGTCCCCATCCCGTAGAAAACTAACTCGCTAAAAATACGCTAACCAGAAAAAATCATTCGAACCTTTTAAACTCTGCCCCGGGAGTCAGAAGATCTTCATTTAGAAGAATTATGACGCCTCATGATGAAAGCCGAATTCCTTCGGAAGTTACGAGGCCGATGCCCCTTCTGACAACCAGAGCGACCATTTATTTAGGTACATGGAATGTTCGTACAATGTGGGACACCGAGAGAGCCTTCCAAATTGCTGCAGAAATGAGGAGATACAACTTAGAGGTGATTGGGATCAGTGAAACACATTGGACCCAAGCTGGACAACAACGACTAGCTTCAGGGGAGCTTCTGTTATACTCCGGCCATGAAGAAGAAAATTCCCCACATACACAAGGAGTTGTATTGGTGCTGTCCAAACAAGCACAAAATGCACTTATAGGATGGGAATCTCATGGTCCAAGGATCATCAAAGCCTCCTTCAAAACAAAGAAAGAGGGCATTTCAATGAACGTCATCTAATGCTATGCGCCTACCAACGACTACAATGAAGACGCTAAAGATCAATTCTACGATAGGCTGCAGTCAATCGTCGAGAAGTGCCCAACAAAGGACCTGACCATTCTGATGGGAGATTTCAATGCCAAGGTTGGAACGGACAACACTGGATATGAAGACATCATGGGACGACACGGACTGGGAGAATGAAACGAAAATGGTGAGAGATTTGCAAATCTATGTGCCTTCAATAAGCTGGTCACAGGCAGCACTATATTCCCACATAAACGCATACACAAAACCACATGGAATTCACCGGATCACTACACAAAACCAAATCGACCATATTTGCATCAACAAAACGTTCAGGAGGACTATAGAGGACGTGAGAACCAAGAGAGGAGCTGATATAGCATCAGATCATCATTTGCTGGTCGCCAAGATGAAATTGAAACTCAAGAAGTACTGGACAATGGGGCGGACAATATCACAAAAGTTCAATACGACCTTTCTTCAGGACACTAAAAAACTCAACAAATTCAAGATAGTCCTCAGCAACAAGTTCCAGGCCTTTCATGATCTACTCAATGGAGAAGGAACTACTGTGGAGAGCAACTGGAAGGCGATCAAAGAGGCAATCCCTTCAACATGTCATGAGGTCTTGGGCCACAAGAAGCACCATCACAAGGAATGGATCACTGTTGATACACTGGATAAGATTCAAGAAAGGACCAAGAAGGCAGCAATCAATACCAGCCGACCAGGAGCAGAGAAAGCCAAGGCACAAGCTGAATGCACAGAAGTAGACAAACAAGTGAAGAGGAGCACCAGAACCGATAAATATAAAAATGTGGAAGATTTAGCAATGACGGCGGAAAACACTGCAAGAGAAGAAAACATGAGAAAAATGTAGGACACAACAAAGAAAGTCGCTGTAAATTACCGTAAACCAGAACGACCAGTGAAAAGCAAGGAAGGCGAAGTAGTCACCAACATTGGAGAGCAACAAAACAGGTGGGTAGAACACTTCAAAGAACTCTTGAATCGATCAGCTCCACTGAACCCACCCAACATCGAAGCAGCACCCACGGACCTCTCAATCAATGTTGGCCCACCAACAATTGAAGAAATCAGCACGGCCATCAGACAAATCAAGAGTGGCAAAGCAGCAGGACCAGACAGCATTCCAGCAGAGGCACTGAAAGCAGACGTAGCGGCAACTACAAGGATACTCCACATTCTCTTCAATAAGATTTGAGATGAGGAACAAGTACCAACAGACTGGAAAGGACTCCTGATCAAAATACCGAAGAAAGGCGATCTCAGCAAGTGTGATAACTACAAGGGCATCACTCTTTTCTCAATACCGGGAAAAGTCTTCAACAGGGTATTATTAAACAGGATGAAGGACTGCGTAGACGCCCAACTTCGTGACCAACAGGCAGGATTCCGTAAGGATAGATCGTGTACAGACCAAATCGCAACTCTACGGATCATTGTGGAACAATGTATTGAATGGAATTCATCACTCTACATCAACTTCATTGACTACGAAAAAGCATTTGATAGCGTGGACAGGGCAACACTATGGGAGCTTCTTCGAAACTACGACGTATCTGAAAAGATAGTCAATATCATACATAATTCCTATGATTGATTAAACTGCAAAATCGTGCATGGAGGACAGTTGACAGACTCGTTCGAGGTAAAGACCGGTGTTAGGCAAGGTTGCTTACTCTCACCCTTTCTCTTTCTCCTGGTGATCGACTGGATCATGAAGACGTCAACGTCTGAAGGAAAGCGCGGGATACAATGGACATCTAAGATGCAGTTGGATGATCTAGACTTCGCAGACGATCTGGCCCTTCTATCCCAAACGCAACAACAGATGCAGGAGAAGACAAACAGTGTGGCAGCAGCCTCAGCAGCAATAGGTCTCAATATACACAAAGGGAAAAGCAGGATTCTCCGATACAACACAGAATGCACCAATCCAATCACAATTGACGGAGAAGATTTGGAAGATGTAAAAACCTTTACGTATTTGGGCAGCATCATTGATGAACAGGGTGGATCTGATGCAGATGTGAAGGCGCGGATCGGCAAAGCAAGAGCAGCATATTTACAACTGAGGAACATCTGGAACTCAAAGCAACTATCAACCAACACCAAGGTCAGGATTTTCAATACAAATGTCAAGACAGTTCTACTGTATGTGGTGGAAACTTGGCGAACTACGAAAGCCACCATCCAGAAAATACAGGTGTTTATTAACAGTTGTCTACGCAAAATACTTCGGATCCGTTGGCCGGACACTATCAGCAACAACTTAATATGAAAGATAACAAACCAGATTCCAGCGGGGGAAGAAATCTGGAAGAAGAGCTGGAAGTGGATAGGACACACATTGAGGAAAGCACCGAACTGCGTCACAAGGCAAGCCCTCACATAGAATCCTCAAGGCCAAAGGAAAAGAGGAATACCAAAGAACACATTACTCCGGGAAATGGAGATAGACATGAGAAAAATGAACAAGAATTGGATGGAACTAGAAAAGAAGGCTAAGGATAGAGTGGGTTGGAGAATGCTGGTCGGCGGCCTATGCTCCTTTGGGAGTAACAGGCGTAAGTAAGTAAGGTTGTAGGTATATCGATTTAAATAGAAAAGTGGTTTTTGTCACGGATTGGCATCAACTGATAATAACTCGTGACAAAACACGCCATAAACTCCTGTGTTCTAAGCTAAGGGACCAAATTTGACATGTCTATTAATTATGTCTGGTCCCACATGGTGACTCATCCTAGGCTCTACAACTATTGTGTGGTTAATTGATAAATTGTGTATGCCCGAAGCAAAACATGACTCATATGACCTTCTGTTATAGCCCAAAGCCGCCAATCAGAAGCAGCGAATTATCGATCGAACCAAGGACGCGTAAAACACGTACGAGCAGTCTAGACCCCTGCTTTCGCCTAGCCCAGCCAGTTAAGCCCAGAACGCCAATCTCAGCCTCTGCAATATGAATCATTATATTTCAAACATACTGAGTTTATGTACCAACCAAACAGACCACAACGTACCAATAAAATATGAAACAACATTTGTACGAGAACTAGCCAGATGTGGCTGTGAATGAGGGAGGCAGTGACTAATTGACAAGGAACAATTCAAGAATGGAAAATCGTATAATAACAGTTCATAGGTTAAAATAAAGCTTATGATAAGATGAACATGAATATGAATAGTTTAATTAATTGACAATTGTACGATAAAAATATACGCACAGTATTGGTCCATCAATAGATCCCAAAAGTTACCATTCATTATTCTTGTCGGGACATAACACTTTCGTACCCGTGTGACATATGTATCAAATCTAGTCTATGAAAACAGTTAATCGCACTTTGGTTGATTAATCACATTACTTACAATAATTTACACTGACAGTAGTGGTCACGTTTTTCATTGGCGTTACAATGTTATGTAATTTGGAAGAAGTGTATAGTAGAAAAGTGAATGATGGATTACAGATTGATTGGCAAGTTTTTTTTCTGAATAACCACCAAGTGAATTTAAACTTCACCCTATTGCACAAGCAGTTGGCTATCAGGACTCAGTAGCTAAGTGGTTAACGCTATGGCGTTTGAAGCGAACGTTACTGGGTCCGAATCTCAAATAGGACGAGACGCATGTCATGGATTCCACTGCTAGCTACTATCCATCTTTGCTTATAAAACTTGTGACTTAAGGCAATATCGAGGTGATCCGCACAGGATGCACATATACCGACAATAGACTGATTAATTGCAGTCCTAATTAGCCATTGGAAGATACAAGCAAACAACACCAATTGAACTTATCACAGTCTATTCTGTCGTGTTTGCTCTTAATCTGTTTACAGCCGTATTTTTATGATATAATATTAAGTAGTAGACATGTGTTATGCAAATACAATTGTAAGCAACCTAGGAGAAGTCATAAAACTAGGTGAATTCATATTGTTCTAACATTCAAGTTCATTAAGAGAGCTAATTCTCTGAAAACCTTTTCTGTAAAATACTGAGAAGCTTGGTTAAAAATAATTGAGCTAACATCTAACTACGTGACAGTCATCATATTTTACCGATGAAATAAATGAAACCATGCAGTTCTCTACTTAACAAATTGTAACTACTCGTGATTTTGTTTATCGTAATGCTATAATATCAATTCCAGAATTGCTCCTATTAGTTGGGATTTGAATTTCGACTTAATGAAGTTCATACTCAAAACTACGTGTCTTTACATCTAAATTGACCGAAAAATTGAACAGTTTGCTTGCAAATGTTTTCAGATTATGAAGATTATCTTCTCAATAACAAATAGAATTCAGTCAATTGTACGTATTTAAAGCGTTGATTCAGACTACTGTCTGTTTAAATTTGTTAGATTTTTTTCCAAACACTGTGGAATCTATCGACCACCATACTTGTGAGCAGATTCCGATGAAACCGTTCACGTGCTAAATATCATAGGATGAGCATAGTTTCGTTCTTTAAATTACTTAAATAACAGGTGAAATCTCGTTTAAAACAGAAATACCTAAGATTTTTTCCCTAAAATAATTTCAACCTATCCAACTTTTAACGTATTCTTAAATTACCTGGTTGATTACGTTTTCCTATCCCCAGACTCGACGAAGTAGTGATTTTGTATCAACAAGGAATAATTGTAATCAGAAAATGAATATGGTCTTCCTGTATGACTGATACTGATACAATACAGGGACTTCTTGACACATTCGGGGATAACATACAGATGTTTGAAAATCGGTTTTCATCAGTTAGTATTCGATTATATAGTATAGCAGAAAAGATTGCATTAATTCATTATTAGGTGTTAACGTTTGGTAGTTGCAGACTGTTTATGCTATTGCTCACTATGAGATAAAGACTTATTTTATTCCTAAATTTCAAAAATGTATTCCTGTTTTTGACAATAGCCTTGAAAAATCATTATCCGTGGCATAGATAGTAGTAGGACCACATATACCAATCCTCATGTTTCATCAACGAAACCAAAGTGAATACAACGTAGGACAACCGTTTTTTTGTTAAGTGATCACTGTATCTAGATAAATTCAATTGAATAAAACAAATTGTTCATGTTACATCTATCTGGATAACCAATTTACTCACCAGCCAAGTAGAAACAATGATTATGTTCACCTTAGTGACTAATCTGGAGATATGTTCTCGAAATCCTATCTGGAGGTCGTGACTAGTGAAGTTCAACCATGTCAGATATCACCGATGACGTTTAATAGTCGTCACACACATATCACGAGTTTACTGACACTCAAAACGCGGAGTGATTATGCACTGACTCGGAGGTCTGAAGTTGGAAGTGCGCTCACTGTAAGGCCTGGAAGTCTTAAATTCAACCTCCAGGTAGGGTTTTAGGTGTCCGATTCTTAGGAGTCTCAGACTAGGACAAAATATTCTTTGATTTTTGATGGTTATTCAACTAAAATCAATCTGCTGTAAACAATTGCTAATTCAATTTGATTTGGTTTTAGCAACCGTCGATTCATGATTATACTATATAATATTTCATTACTTACACTCAAGCCTTCTTACTGGTAACACGTTTGTGAAGGTTTAAAAAGTTTGCGATTTCTTAGCCGATAATTGGAACTTATCCGTTGTTGACGTATGCTAAAATATTTGCTCATGCTTTGAAGATGTTTATTATTCGTATAGTTACTGCTATGTCTTCTTGACCTGATATCGATTTGTACTTTTTACTCACTGTGTTCACTTGTATAATTTATTTCATCGTTGTGATTGATTCACCGATTGCCTTGCTTAGTTTAACATTAACATTTTTCATATATGGATTATTCATGAAGTTTTTGTTGTCCTTCTGGACAACTTCATCAACGCAAGCTTTAAACAGAAATGAGTTATTTAAATTTCTGTCCATGTAACTGATAGCTTATTGATAGGATTTTGTTGACTGTTGTCTTGTTGTTTATTGATTGGAAGGACAATAAAAGCTCTATGTCTAAACTAACCAACTGAGAGGACAAAATTCCATCAAAATCATCCAACTGAACTATAAATCTGCACCAAATCAAGATATGCAAATAATCACTGTTAATCATTAATAGTTAGTTGTTTTATATATTGATATGCAAACGAAAGACATGTTAAATAATAAAGTAATTCTTTTGAATGTATTTTCATTATTGTCAATACAGTACCGTTAAAGAGTTATCTAGAAAAGGAAATGATTACATTCCACCCCAGGGATCTCAAGATAGTACAAGTTCAACTTCATCTACAGCTGATAAGGTTAGTCAGTGTTTTATAGAAAAAACTTTGATCTTATTATCAGTTACTTTTGTTTTAGTCATATTGTAAAACATGACATTAGGCAGAGGAGTTCTGCAATCTGAACTGTCTTCGAGACTGACCACCAAGTGTTCTGCTAACTCCGTGCTTTGATGCAGTGAAACTCCTCATTCTGTCTGGTAATTGCTACAACTTCCATGTCATGTTCCGCTACACACTACTTACAAACACCTTCATGGGTAGCGTCCACTACAATACTAGTGTTTACACTTAGTAAAGGGGATTTTTCTTCTCAATATGTGTACTTGTTTTCTGCGTTATAAATACACGTACATTTCTCCTCAGCGTATGTCCTGGGTAAAAATAATTGGAATAATTAGTATTTAAACTTTTATTCACTATTAAACTATGTTGTAAATTCGGATTAAACTGCAGACTTTCACTAAGATTTCACGCTTTATCTAAACCAACATTAATGATGATGTGATTCAAGACGCAGACGCAGTAGATCGATACTTATCCAGTTTAAATTCAAAACCAGGAACCTTTATATGTTACTAATACGTTCAAATTATTGCTAAGAATCGTACTTCAATTAAGGCGTTTGTTAGAACATTGCATCAAACCAGAGATTATGAAAAGGGCTAACAGACAGACAAAACAACATTTGCCTGAATTGAGCATTTAGGGTGAGGGGTCCCCACGATCAGAACCTAAACTACTGAATATCCATGACCAAATGATCATATGACCGTCTCGGTCATTCATAAAATGTAGTGAGTAACTAGTCATTGGACAGATGAAATGCAATAAAAAGTAGAGTTAAAATATTGTTAGTGACTTATATAGGCCAAAGGGTATATCAAATGAAAGTAGTGAAAAAAGGAGTGACATATGTTATAGATGATATAACTTGTTAGAACTACGCACGTATACAGAACTTATGTTTATTAATAAGGTGAAGCTTATTCAACAATGTATTATTATATCCTAGCTAATCAGATTTCGCAGTTTTAAATCTTGATTGATTATCAAAATAAATAGTCAATCATTTTTTGAAAATTCAGGATATGAGATTATAATTATTAACAAATTAGTACTTATATTATTATTTCGATAATGCAACGAGAAGACGAAGGGTATCAAGATTATGTGATGTTTGCGCAATACATTTTACACAATCTGATCGCACATATGAGAACTAAGAGGTCAACTAGACGGATTAAAGGTAAGCCGTAACAAAGATAAGTACATTCACTTGGCATTGTTTACTTGAATCTTCTCACTGATGTTTAGGACTACAGTTGATCAGTCTCATTGGCATATGTGCATACTGTGGACTTAGTGGGTAAGTGGATAATGCCATAGCATTTGAAGCGAACGGTATTGGGTTCTAGTCCCAGAGTGAACATCAACTCTGAGATACAGGTACATCCAGCTGACAAGTCCCAAGTAGGACGAAACGCACGTCCTGGATTTCACTGCTAGCCACTATTCATCTTTGTCTATAAGTAAAGTACACAAAAACAATGTGACAACCACTCTGGATAATAAATCAGTATTACCAGGGTAGGTTAAGTGTAAGGACAAATTGTTTTTGAACACATAAATAGTGTTTCAGTTCCCATATAGCCAAGGTTTCAATAAACTTTAGTACGCGCCCTTGAAGGCTTTTGTACAACAAGACAAATGCTGACTTGATATCAACCTTATGACCAGTATCAACCAAATGTTTGGCAATGGGAGATGTCTGTCTATCCTGTGATCTTATTTGATCGTTGGAATTCATTTGTCTATGCGGCCATTTGATTATGTGTTCCGTCACCCTTACTTGCAGACCACGTTTACTGATTTAAGTCTCCGTTTCTACATGAGACTATTTGAGTCGTCTCTAAATGGTAACATGATGTAAACTCACTTTTTAGGTGCCAGAAGCGTCATAGGTCTAATCGTGTTGTAACTGTTCCAGTGGTTTGTAAATTTAAGTGGATAACTATTATTCATGAATGTTTCAGTCAAGAGCTTTGGAATTACTTCAATAGTATCGCTAGTACAAATATGATTGATTCTATCGAATAAGCCATTTATTAATTCACATGAATTGGGCAGTGACTATGCAAATTATGATATTGCCCTGTCCATGTCGGCTTTCTATATACAGAACATTCTGTGGAACCACCATCTCTTCTACTAATCAGCATGTCTAAAAAAGGAAGCTGGTTATTCTTCTCTCCTTCGCATGTAAGAGAAATATGCTTTTGAGTTGTGTTGAGTTCTTTAAAAAGCAATTCAGATTTTTACGTTTATCCCCTATGATTATTATGTCTTAAACGTACCGTTTATACAGACGCATCTTTTGAATTGAGTCTTCAGCTAGATCTTCAATATATCCTATAAACACATCAGCCAGTACGGGCGTATACTAAGGTTTATTGAGACCTTGACTATACGGAAATTGAAACCGTCTTTATGCGTTCAAAAACAATTTATCCTTACACTTAACCTACCCTGGTAGTACTGACTTATTATCCAGGGTGGCTGTCATATTGTTTTATGTACTTTATTTTTCTTTGTTATGGCTTACCTTTAATCTGTCTAGTTGACCTTTTAGTTTTTATATAAAAATGTCTAACAAGTATATGTGTGATCAGATTGTTCAAAATGCATTGCGCAAATATATCGCATAATCTTGTTACCCTTCGTCTACACATTGCATTATCGAAATTTACTAAAGGAACTAATTTTTTTCCCACGCACTCTCACCTATATATTTATCCTGATTATTCATCACACAATCTCAACCGATTGTAGTACACACATCAAATATTTGTGATTTCAAAATTTATAAACTCCAACTTGCGAACTTATTTTAAAAATTATCTTGTAACCCCTCCCCATTATGACTAAATAAATGTTCATAATTGATTGATTCTCGTTCATTCATATTTGTGTTCTATTCAGTTTACTTCGATACACTCCCATATGAATTTAGTCATTTTGCTTTGTAATAATCTTGTTGTAGTGTTGTTTCCAGGGTTTGAAAGTTATATTTTATACAAGAATACAGATTGGTTGTTGAGATTTTTTGTACTTTTTATATCTCATTCGCACTAGATTAGGATGGTTACGTAACAGCTACTAATGTTTTTAAGAATAAAAGTTCATTTTCGTACAATATTCGTCTAATTAAGGTCAATCAATTTTTTTCAGTTAAATGTGATATCGTTTAATGTAAGATAGATACTTGATGCTGGTTTATGTAGACTTAGTTAGACGACTGTTGAGGGCCATAGGGAAATGTTTTGGCTTAGTATTGAGACTATTCATCGTTGACATCTACGACCCTACCAGTCGTTCCTAACTTCCTAGCGTAATTATGAACTGGGATGTTTAGTCACATAGACTAAAAATTATTTTTAATCAAACTTGATCTGTAGTAATTGCTAGATGATATGACATTGGTTACTGCTGATGTCTTAATTAGCATAATTGTTAGATTCAAGTATATATCATTGTATATTCTAGATCAATTAAAGAGGAAGAATGTATTTGTAAAATCTCAGCGAGAAAATTTGACGTAAATCCAACGTTTCGCCTGGCAATCTGGTCCAAGCTTTTTCAAGGAAATATAATCAAACATGAAAATTATCGAATATAAATAGGTACATGGTTCTCAGGTTCACTGTATACTGAATAGGTCATCCAATCAACGTTAACAGTGTTTAAAGTAGGTATTTGCATTATTGTGTAAGAGACATGTGTTGTGAAACGAAGTGTCAAGATAACAAATTGTGTGTATACGTAAGTGAGAAGATAATAGTTAGCTCATAGTCCAATTGACAGATATGAAGAAAAACAACAGACATAAAGGTCATAATAATAAAAACTGAATAATAATCAAGAAAACTTGTATAAGGCAGTAATAATAATAACCGATTAGTTTAAAATTGTAAAATAATAAATCTTAAAAAAATTCAGTAATAATCAAATAAACCGTAAGCCTTGGTTTTGTGCTAGTTGCCATTCCCCATCAAGACGTATCTGGAGTCTTGGAGATATTTCCATCTATAAAATTCGAACTAGCGTCATTGGCTCTACAGTCTAATATGTTACAATGAGCTATTCGGGTCCCAATCGATTTGCTCTCATAGAAAGAATCAATTATCTCAAGACTGCGAGTACGTTTTCCTGACGATTGCTACAAAACCTAGGTTCATGGCATCCTGCCAACTGCTCCCAACTAACATCTGCTCATCGTGCACGCTGTGGAGTCCCACTGGTGGCCACATTGGAGCTTGATCAATAGAATTCGACCACGGCTATGGTCCAAATAATTACGACATTGGTCACTATTCAACATTCAATTTGTATTAAGCGTGACTCATACTTATTTTGTGATCACCTGACCTTGAGCCTGCAATGTCTGGAAAATAAAAGTACACTGAGCAGACAGATTAAATCTTACGATTCCTCAGTGCTAAAGGTTAACATTATCTTATGGGAAATTTAACAAAATCAATAATTCTATTCCCAACTATATCATGTGGTCACTTTTTAATAATAGACAATTCATATCAGAAATTTAGATCATATTATTCATCTGTTTCCTATTGGTACTTATGTTATACAGGCGAGACTATAATTTATGGACTGCCTGTGAGGGATACTAAAGCGGCTATTAAAAGCAACCCCTTTCTAGGGTCGAGAAAAGGTTATAAATTGATGTGATAGATTGTGATTGAGAAATTGAAATATTAGTTACGTTTAGACAATTAACTAACATTTTATCCTGTAACATTTTACTGGATCATTGTGGTATTTAATTCGCAACAACTAAAGTGCAGCCATTTGTAATTGAGAACTTTCTTTGGTTAATATTTATTAACCTCCCTAGCGTAATTCGATTCAAATTGTCGTATTATTTAATTTAATTTTGTTAATATGCAAGCGCCCCATAATTTTCTACTGGTAATGATACTTCCAAATGTAAATTCATTCTTCAAAGTCAGTCGATCGTTTACAGCGTAGAAACAAGCACATATATGTATCGGTCCAAGTTGCCATACCTCATTAACACAACAAGATGAACACCAAATTCATGGAAGCAGTTGCTTCAGTTGTATAGTAATATGTAAAAAAATATTGCATATAAGGATATGATACAAAGACAACTAGTTCGTAGGAAGAGAGGTATAAAGTAATTCTAATCTCATGATTTAAGAAAAGATAAAATGTATGCACCAACGCGATTGTGATCGATTCTGAGCCATGTCACACAGAGTCCTTCAAAGCACCGACAGTCGTTTGCAGCTACTGTCGTTTCTAAAGTGATTGTTTATGAGTAAGGTCAGACAAATTTCTCTTGAGCAGTCTGATCGCACAACCTAAAACATTATCGAAATTAGCGGCTGAATCTAGCGGCGGGTTAGATCTTGTTTTTTAAGTTATCTGTGAAGAAGATCAATGTAGGAGTTACAACGCACTGCTTTGTGATCTTGTGCATTCACCTAAGTTCACGAAAAGTTTTACGACGTTGGATTTGAATATATGGGGATCACCTTCGTATTCAACGACTTTTAGCTAAATCTTGGTAGCCTCATCCAAACTAGTAGATCTTTAACAACTCATGATGGTTAGCTCTGAGAGCGAGTGGAATCATGTCAGATTCAGATGAACTAAGTGCTCAATAACTACAAGCACCTATTGTTGACGAAAGCAGATGCTCACTATTCCTGTGTACGTTAAGTTGGACTGGACCATCAACATTCCATCTCATACATGAGTTAAGCGTTTACTATAAATCCAAAATGGAGCGATGTAACAAAGCGATTTAATGTCAGAAATCCCTTCATTGTATTCAAATCAGTCTTACTAACGAACTTTAATCCATGGGATACGTGCTCATTCGATATGTCTGAAGGCAGTGTATGAAAATTCAAGCGAAATAGAATGATTTCAGATCTGAACAATAATCCATAGATCAGTTGTAAATACTTCTTGACTATTACTGGGATATCGTTTTGCGTTTGTCGGGTTAGCATCTATCCTACAGCACTTTTGATTAAAGTAGAATATTCAGGTGAAAACGTAACAGGTACTAACGACCTAAGTTTAAAGAAATAAGCACTTACCACATGAGGTCCACTCAGTGACAGAAATTAGTAATTAAGTGTCAAAGTTAACATGGTTTAAAATGGATTACAGTGATGTGTATGTATTCTTTACCCTTTTTAGACCTTTTGTAAATTTTTGCTGTTTGTCGATTTTTGTTTTTCTTGATCGATATTGGTTTTACTAGTTTTTATTCTTTTTCATTTTATTGTGTTGCTGCAAACTGTGATAACTTGAATTTGTTCTCTTACGCTAAGAAATCCTATGTTTAAGTAATAGTTTCAATCTTAATCAATGAGAATTTTTCCTTATATGATAGAAAGATGTAGACTTTTCACTACATATGCTGTGTTATAGACCTCACTTCTTTGTGAATTTGATATCTATTTATTTATTTGAACACATAAATATTGATACAAGAAGGCACCGAATGCATGTGCGCCACACAAGTCACTTGGTTTGTGTATGGACTTAGATACTGTCCGGGTGCCCGTACCGAAGCAGATAGTTTTCTTAGGGGGCTACGGCCAGAACCTTCGACCTAAAGGTCTGATCAACAATGCAGTGGAGCAACGTCAGGAGGTGCAGTCCCATGGTGGTCGGTGACCAGCGATTGGTTTATGTTTATACACCATTTGTTCTTTCAGAATCATGGAGCCATGTGCAGAGTTGAGTATTTTACATTGAAATATGTATGCAGTAGCGGAGTGTGGATCTTATTTAGTGGGCGCGACTATATGGTTCATAATAAATTGTCATATACGTAATCTATCTAATCTATACTTAAGCTTCGGTCTTAACCCGCTTTAAAATGTTTGGCTCAAATCAATCTTATCCTCATCAAAATACTCTCCATCAGCGATAATAGACTTTTCCCTTGTTTGTTTCCATTATCACAAATGTTCCTCTTCAGTGAAACACTTCATTTGCATTATCGTCTCATATTTCATCATTCACGTTTCGTTTTGTAATTTCATCTCGATGTTTTAGTGGTGAGAGCACCACCAATTCTTGTTCAGTCAGGTGTAGGTAACTTCGGGACGATTTTCACACACAGGTTTCTTTATTCCAAATGTTTTGTTTGAATCTTGTACATAGGCACTAACAAAATTCAATTCACCACTAGTCCGTGCAGTAAATTGACGGTCGAGAAGCATAAAACATCACGTTCATTAACAGAGGAATTCGATGGTCATTCATCGATAATAGCTGTAGTAGCTTAGTTCGCATATGTACCAAGGGGAACATGTATTTCATTTCTACATGCTTTGAAAATATTTTCTTTCAATAATAGTAATTCTTTTTTCTTTTTCTGTTTGCAGTGTGTTGGTACGGATAACTTGTAAATGGAACATATGATACAGGGTGGAACTTGTCTCTTTCATCCGGTGATGACTTACTCGCCACAACTATGACAATTAGTATTATTCTTGCACACTATTTTTCTCAGTATTTTTTCTAAAACTTATTTTGTATAGGTGACTTGTGATTTCATTTTGTTCTTTTTGTCATTTTATTATTGGAAATAGTAGTATTATAGTTATCAGTAGTACAAAAAATATCACAAAATAAATCAGTGAGTTGTTAAATTTCATCTGCTGTTTTGTAAAATAGTTTATAAGTTTTCAGTAACATAATGTGATCTGTACTATATTGTTTACTTGGTACCGCTGAAATTCGTTTAAACTCATTTTGTCTTGATTGTCTTTGTTACTTTAAAGTGAGTAGGATTTATGATTGAATAAAAGTTGTTTTTTAGATCCAATCTTTGTTTTGTTAAGTGAAATGAAGTTGAATGTTGAATAAGGAAATATTTCGTGTAGAGATTTGTCCATAATAATAATAATAATAAACTATTGAGTGGTTTATGGTGAAAGGTGTTTCGGCTGTTCATGTGTTTATAAGCTGCGTAGTTGTTGATAGGATTAACGATGATATTTTGTTTGACGAGGGAGTACAATTCATATATAAACCAAACAGCCGTAAATAAAATTATTACCATAATTTGATGTTGAACATTAGAAATTCTGATCGTGTATACAACTAACAGTTAATGCTGAAACAGTTCCCACGGGTAAGAGGTTGATATATGTTAGTGAGGATGACTCTTGTTCGTTAAGTCTAAATTGACCTGTTTATCTTTGTGCTTTGTGTTTTTGTAAGTTGGTTCAGTATTTATCAGAGAATCCCAGTCACTTAACATGTAAATATATTTCTGGATTATGAATAAAATAGATATACTTTAATAGTTATTCTAAGTTGTTAAGTTTCATCTGTGAATTTCGAGTATACTCACAGGTATGAAGTTTTTATGGAATGACATGAATATCAACATATTTTTAAAGCTTAGATATCACAATTTACCATCAAATGTTTCCATAATCTAACCGATTGCGACATTTAGAAAGTCAACTTTTTTGTTAGTAGATGTTAATCCACAAAAATCTCACGAGTTAGATATGTTGGATCTTACCATTTAAGCTTACAATGGTGATCTCTGTGTACTGAAGGATAGATTAAGATTTTAGTGTATTAGACGAAGGCCTAAACTTGCCGTACTGTTTGTTACCTTCAGTTCAGTTATTTCTAATGTTGTTTTTCTAGAACGCTTTTTGATGAAACTATATAGTGTAAAGAATTGATGTGTAGATTTATGTATATAACCAGATCGTCCAAAATGTATCGGGCTAAAATACCTTATGGCTCTGACAAAATAATTTTGGTGTTAGTTAGCGGCAATCGACGTAATCCCTAAATCTATGTTACGAGTTCACTGGCGTTCGTCACCAAGGTATACTTACAATTCTGAGCGGATGGATTTCTTTCATCGCCTCACTGTGTTTTGATTGATACAATTCATTTAGCATTGAATACTTGACAGCATGACATTAGTTACTACTACTGGATTAATATGCATTTTGTCTATTTCTCCTTAATGTACTCTGTATTTTTGAAAACATGATACTTTCCAACAAATTTTCGAAGCTAGCATATATACATGTAGGGCTGGTAAGCCAAGCCTGAAATACATCACTCCCAATCGAAATTCTTATTTAGCTTCTCGTTATCTTGTGTGAAAACAGGTCATATTTCATAATTTAGCCTTCTAAAATATAAGTTGACTAGGGTTTTTTATTTCTAGCCTTATGAAGTATTGATTTACAAATGATTTTGGGTACAGATTTATTTGAGCTTTATATATAACTATATGGTTCAATGTGTATCTGATGCATTCCGTGTACGTCTCATTATCAGAAGATACTGACACTAAACCATTTTATTGTTGAGATTTGACCAATGCATTATTTATTACGGTTGACGTGCTGATATACAGATGAAAATATTTGTATCTGGGATATCGTACGGAAGACATCTTTTCACGTTACAACTCGACGTAACATCACAGAATATATTAATATTCATAAACCTTTGCCTCACAGCAGAATGATTAACGATCATCTACATTAGACTTCGACGTAGCCACTTTTATACTTTGTGGTAAACAGTTTTTTTATTAATTATATTTGATACCAAAAATTGGTCCAAAGAATGGAACTTTTTTACTACATGTTTATTTGTAAGTGTACAATCCGCGTTACCCTGAATCTTCTAACTTCTTGTTTTCAGCAATGAGTATATCAAACATTTCACACTTATGGTTGTAACCCACTTATCTTTAGTTAAAACGCTAATTCTAGTCACAAGAAACCAATTTAAGTTTTGCATTAGTATGTATATCAAACGATTTAAAATGAATTCAATTTCGCTTCTGAAAAATCTTGTGGTGTATGTTTGTATTTGGTATTTTAGAATTTAGACGTAGTTTACAGCCACTTGGTGTTCATTTATTTCGGTAGGAATCACAGCAAGGTGGGATGACGACAGAGCTCACAGTAGATTTCAAGTTGTAATACAGGCTAACTTATCATATTATTTAAACATTCTGTCAGTAACACATTTAGGTACATTTTCGTAGTATTATATCTGATTGAGACGGGAAGATTTGAAATCATTTTGATGGAGTTTTGTTCTCTGAGACATATAGTTTGGTCATGGAGCTTCCATCGTTCTTCTGAACAACATAACCAGCACAAACTTCAGATAGAAATCATTCAGATACCAGTATATTAAGAAGTACCTGTGTATTAAGTGTGGTTTTTCGTAAGTTTATGTTTGCAAACGTGATTTTCTCTCTTGGGATTGTTTGTTGTCATATCCAGTTTCCTTAGAAACATTTTAAACAGATTGCTTCTTTAAGTAGAAAGAAATTAGAGTCAAAAATATGGGAGTATTCAATTTGACTGCTTCAGGTTCATGATAAAAATGTATATATGATCGAGCACAGTAGTAGTTCCATTTGATTTTTATTTCTTTTCAGGTCTTAACTATTTTCTCCGTAGCGTTGAAATTTCATGGTCCTTGAGAATTAAAAGTTAACATTGATTTTAAATTATGTATGTTTCACCTATCCTAATAGTTTTTGTTATGACGGAGTTTAAATTAGTATTTCAAAGTCAGGGGTATAATTGGGAGTTTATGATTAAGTGGAGTCTCAATTTATTCAAAATTAAATAAACATTATGGCGATAAGCTGAGGTAAGGATTATGGTTAAAATTTGAAACTAATTTTTTGTAATTCATTTTTGCATTGGTTGTCTGAATCTCCCCGTTGATGTTTACGATTGTAATTGATCAGTCCTGGAGTGAACATTAACTCTGGGATGTAAGTACATTTAGCTCAGGAGTTCTAAATAGGATGAAGCGTGCATCATGGATTCCACTTCTAGACATCATCCATCTCCGCTTATAATTTTTTATAGTTATAAAAACTAGAGTGATATTACTTCATGAAGTGTTCAGAAAAATCAAATATCGAAGGGTTGGTACGTGTTGTGTTAAGACGGGATGTGATATCAGTGTAAATGTTATTCAAAATTACCCCCTTTTTAATTCAGTATAATAATTACTCAGAGTAATATTCTTTTTTTCAGTGCAATATTCTGTTTATGATAACATTTATTTTGTTTAAGTATGGAGTTTACTCAGTATAATATTCTTTGTATTAATTTAGTGTAAGCTTCATTCAGTAAGATATGGATCATATGTTTTTCAATAATTCTTTGTATTTTCTCTAAATGTGATATTTATTAGTGTGTCATGAAGCGTGTGTAACAATCATTATGAAAAAGTCTATTTTTGTTAAATACACGGTGTTTTGATGGGGAAATAGGTGTTCTTTAGTCAGTTTCCGTGTACGTATTTCGCTTCATAGAGATTACAGTGGTTACCGGTATCAAGTACTGCAGTAGCTCCCGCTGCCATAATGTAATGATCTAGCAGTTTGTGAAAGAATGAGGAGATCAAGTTAGTTTATGAATGAGCGACAATTGTTAACTTGGTGAATATAAAGAACAGGATAATTAAATTTTATAGCTAACGCCACATATTGGTCTTATTTAAGCAACCATTGAAACTCGGGGACCAATAGATAGCTGTTTTTTGTAGTATTGAACTCCTCAACCGAATCCCGATATTTTATTTTGTTTGCGATTTCTAACAAAAAGATACTTGACGTCAATCTTTTAATCATTGGCTGACATCCACTAGGGAGATCCATAAATTTCCTCGGAAAACAAAAAGGGCTCTGAAAACTCTGAGAAACATCTTATCCGATCAGCATCCAACAGGGTTTTTTTTTCCAGAAACATCTAGAGGGTGAAAAGTCACATGTTGCGTTTAGTAGCGTTCCAGAATTTTCCGGAATCCCAACGCCATCCAAAATGCCATAAGTACTGTAGATTTTCTGTACATGAACGAACACTGGAGTAAAGCGTTTCTTCCATATTTCGCACCTTTTCTCTCGTGTTCAAGTTTCCGTGTAGATTAGCCTGGGGGTTACTAGAAGAGCTTAGGAAACCGAATCTAGAGTACGAATAGAAGATTTATCACGAATAATCACCTTAAGCCTCGAAAAATATTTGTGAAAGGGATGATAAAAATACTCTTTCTATGTTAAATGATTTATACACTTCATATTTACAATAAGTTTATACTTCTATCCTTAAGTGAAATTAGTAAAGTAATGGCTCTTTAATTACAATGTTTTTAAATTGAAAAAAGGTAGTCTACATATGGTAATAATGAATATAAGACCATATACCGTTTATAGGCAGTTTGTTCATTTATCAAAATAACAGTCTGCATATATGAAATAATTCTAGGAAAAAGTAAATATTTTTATAATGGCGTTTACTTACAAAAATGTTTACGTGGGGATAAACAGCTAGTTATGTACAAAACAGAGTAGGATCTGTTCATTTGAAATTCCTTACTTGCATAGTATTTTGATTCAGCATTTTGACTAATTCACCATTCGTGCTCCATGTATTTGAATTCCTAATGATAATATTGTTTGTTCTCAAGACGGTTCATTATGATTTCAATATTTTTTATGTATGAGAGAATTTGTCAAATTCAGTGAGATCATTAAATTCTGAGCACTTGAATTGTTTATTATAACTAAGTTCGTAATCCTTCGTTTCAGAAGGCGTATCCATACGATTATGAGATCTGATTAAATTATCGAGCATCATTTTAGATTCATTTTGTATATATGTGAAATAACTTGTAGAAACATAAGAAATGGTCATACAAACGCATTGAATATTAAATTGTTAATATTCGTAATGGTATTATTGAATAATATAATGGAAAACTTAGTATGTTATGTGGAAGATAAGAAATAGGTTACATCGTTTTAACT